ACTATGGTGACTGTATGCTGCAAAATAATAAGCAATTTTCCCGGTATGATTTTTCAAAAGTTTTCCAAAACTCTTGGATACCTCATGCAGAACATACTGAATAAAGTGTTGAAGTGGGTAGTTTAATTTTTTAAGAATAATGATATAATGAGTAAGACACTGCTCACTTTTCAGCTCATTTCTGACGAGGATGTGTGCTGGCATGAATATTATATGCAGAGTGGTTGATGAAAATGTGTTTACTGATACAGAAAGGATCGATATTAATTAAAATAGAATTTGAAATAACAGGTATGCGGATGATACAGCATTTGTGGATAAATCTGAGGTTCGATAGTTGCTTGACAGGTTTTTTTGGATAAAATGAGACTATGGATTAAGAATAAATGTCAACAAAATTAAGACAGTTAAGATCTCAGATAAGTTCCCAGGTTATGCATCTCAGTAAGGGTAAATAAATGGAACATGTAGATGAGTTCACTTATTTAGGGAGGAATATCAGTAGTGATGGCAAGCATGGAAAGAGAAAACAAAATATAGGAGTGACAAAAACAGAGTTCTTCGATATCAAAGAATTAGTTCAGGAGAACCTGATGATGACAAAACCTTATCGAAACGTTGTACATTTGCTGTTATGTTAAACTTATATTAAAGTTTTTCTTCATTACCCATTCAAGCCGTCTCCAGCCATTATTAGTCTCAAAGTGGGTTCCTCGTCATCGAATAGGTAACAAAAGATGCAGTTGTTACGTATCTGCTTGTTTGTTAATTTTCGGTAGAAATTCTTTCTGAGAAACTTCAGTGATACAAATCCTTTCTTGGTTAAACCAGTTTATTCTTCCTAGATACAACTTTTAGTACACAGAATTTCCACAATCAGTACATTTCTCTTCACTTTAAACTTAACTACCTTTATAATACACGCCATAAATCACAGTGATTCATAATCTCGATAACTTCGCTTTCTACGTGTGCAAAACACTAGCTCGAAACAGAATCGTAAATTACCCGGAACTCTCTTCATTCATTCATTAAGTGTTAGCTTTCTCTGCCAGGTTTATATATTAAAAAAGGGCATCTCGATCAGACTAGAGTTGCCAGCATGCTCCCAGAGTCACGTGACTTCCGCAGTCGTAACATTGCCCCTTCATTAGTATTGTTCATCCCGAACAATAGCCACTTACATTAAACCAATAGATAACTAATAACTTAATTAAATGTACAGAACCTACACAAAATTAAAATACAACAAAGTCTCTTAATTGTACAGGACATTTCTTCTTCCATACTGGTATTCATCTCAGTGGCTTCTGCTTCACGTGGGGTTCATCTGCTCCATCAGGAAATGTCCCATTATCGGTAGCAGTCACATCAATGGTAGTAACTTCATTAACAGCTTCGCTGGAGTGTATCCAGTGGCTTCATGTTATGCTGTTCTATAGGCCGTCAACAGTGGAGGGA